TGTTCATCTGCGGCCACAAATTCCACAGCGATTGTCTGGAGAAGCAAGTTGTGCCCTTGCTGACCAAGGAGCAATGTCGCCGCCTCGGCACCCTAAAACAGCAACTGGAGGCAGAGGTGCAAACGCAGGCGCAACCGCAGTCGGGTGCCCTAAGCAAACAGCAGGCAATGGAGCTGCAGCGTAAGAGGGCGGCACTGAAAACCGAGATCGAAGACATACTGGCTGCGGATTGCCTATTCTGTGGGCTGCTTATCAACACTATCGACCAGCCGTTCGTTGAGGACTGGGAGCAGGTGAATGTCGAGTGGGAGTAGTTCGCTCCCACCGTCGTTCACACCCAAATATTTATGTACATTTAAAGTATTTATTAATAAACCTACACAGATCACAAATGTATCGACTAAGATAGCCGTCCAAATTCTACAGTTACCTGGCCATCGCCCACTTGCCCGCACTGCAGGTCAGTCCACAATCTGCATGCGCAGCTCGTTGGTCACGAAGGACATGACCGTATTAAGCACAGCCTGCTGAATGGAGGCGTTCTGGACAATCAGCGGCAGCAGCATCACTACGTCGGTGGGGTGTATGTCGGCCACAGCCTTGGACACGTGCTGCACCAGCTGCTCCCGCTGTGAGTCCGTTAGATCGTTTAGGATGACTTCGCCCAGCGGACGGAATGTGCCTGTTTAGGAGGTGGAAATGTACTGAGACTGAGTTGGTAACTTCACCTCCGCTTACCGCTTGTCATCTTGTAGGCGGCGACGCCGCCGGCAGCCCCGCCCACCGCCAGACCCACGGGGCCCAGGAGCATGCCGCCCACGAAGGAGCAGGCGGCGCAGACTGCTGCACCCTTGCCGGACTGCTTCACGGCGACGCGGACGTTGTGTTCGTCCGCTACGATGGCTATCGCCTCCATCAACTCACGCGTATCTATGGGCATCTTTAGGCTACGTGGAGTCGACCACAATTTCGCAACGCAATGCTAGTATTTCCTGTTTAGACTTTGTTCCGTGCGGTAGTATGACGTATCCGATTATGCCATCCGAACCGTTTGTATCCTGGCTTTTAGTGTTGGTCTTGGATTCTCGAACTTATTACTTGGCAACATAAACAATTTCACGGGATGCGCCTTGCTTGAGTAAACAAATTAACAACTGAAATTTGACTTAAAAAACTGCAACTTGATTGAACTTGAAAGCGCCAGAATCAGAGATGCGCAAAAGTCGGTGTTGCTATCGACAGCTATATCGATATATGTGTATTTCTTGCATTGAGCTACAGGTTATAACCGGATTATTGGTAAGTGCAAAGAACTACAATAAATGATAAGCAAACGTGCCTTTATACACATGCTGGAAATCTTAAGAAATGCCAATAAAACCTTAGTAATTCAGAAACCTTAGCGAACGGGTTAAGTCTTACAACTATCGCATCGCAGTGTCCAACGATGGCACTGTTATGCGTATCGATGAGCCGATTGTCCACGGCGAACAGAGCACTTAACAGACTTAACAGCGACTGCTCTGCTACGTGCGCGCACCTAACAGTGGCCTTTTGTTTTGTTCGTAGTTTATCAATTTAAGTCGAGATACTTTTGTGTTCCCCATACATAGCACAAGTGAGCGATTCTTCCTATGCACTGAACTGTGGCAGATCACCTGGCGGACCAAACGAGCCTGCAGAACCGCCGAAAAGGAGCTCCTCACCGCTGGGAATGGGATGTGCGCAAAGCATTTAAACTGTGAACACTTCAGTGTGATTCCGATTCTTCCTCGGATGTGGATAACCGCTCGGCTCCTTCGCCGCTAGTCAAGGAGTAAACCTACCACGGAGCACCTAGTGCACTTCATTTCGAAGGCGACATGCTCGCGTACACCCACGTAAGTCCAATGCGCAGGCAGTTCCGCAAGTGTGTGGGTGCATAGGTATGCGTATGAACATGGGCATGGGCATACCGATACTGATACCGTATTTATAATCTCGAGAGTAAATTGCTCTGAGGGGAGGGGTGCTAGTGTTTATATTGCCTGGCTCAATATCTTATACTATGCCCAGTTAACTTTTTTTTTACAACTATAGCATAGGTAATTCTGATATCGCCTGAAATCCGCATTCCTTGGTTAGCTAATCCTCGATTCCTTGTACTCCTTGAATGCTTTAAATCAAGTACGAAAAATGTATCCCATATCAAACGTATTATTGGCTTAGTAATACCAACTGTAATGTTGTTTTGACCAGGCAAAGCTCCTGCAATGGCCCCATTCCAATCCACTCCACTCCGAAATCGTCAATTTGCCACCAACCGACCCGCCCACAATTGCTCCCTAACACAATTAATCTTTTTATTGCCCTTTTATCACATACGATTCGTTAATTAATTGCCGAATTAGCATGGCAGTGTTGTTGGCAGTTGGCCCGCAAAACGCTAAATCGAGTGTGCAAACAATTAGAAACCAGTTGGATACCGGAGACCCTCCTGACTCCCAGACCCCCCGGCCCCCAGGCCCACCAACTGTTGCGTACAGGGTGTGCCTCACTTACCCTAATTACGACAATTGGAGGACGAGCCAGGCCAAGCCCTCGTCAGTCTAATTCGATTTGCAAACAAACGCGTCTGGCGTAGCAAATATTTGCATATGTACGTCCAACGTGCGACACTCGATTCGGTTTAACGCGCCCTTTGATTGTCGTTGTCATTGCAGGGCACATGGCTCCTGCTCCTGCTGCTCCTCGTGGCAGGCGCATGCGCGCGTCCAGAATCAGCACACACACCGGATCCTGCTGCACTAGGCGAGGAGTCCACTCCACATACACATCCACAGCCTCACCACCATCCCCATGCGTCACTGGAGGATGGTGAGCAGGGAACAGTCATACCTGCTCCCATCCTTACTGCCGATCATGTAGGCATAGGGGAAACCACCACAGCAACAAGTATGGCCGAGACGCAAAGTGTGTCCGATCCGGGATCTGTGACAGACACAACATCAACAAGCACATCCCACTCCACCTCGACCACGTCAACCACTTCGCCCGCACCCCTTCCGCCGGCTGTTTCCGAACAGCCGGAGTACCTGAAGCACTGCTTCTATGCAGAGGAGCAGCTGTGCGGCCACACTTTTGACGGACGACCCGAAACCTCCGAGGGCCAAGGCTCGACTGTCGCGCAGTCGGAAGCCCAAAACAGAGGAGGACAGGGGAACAGCCAGTGCCAGTGCAGGGAGCACCCGGCGCGGCCAAACTCCTGGTACTGCTGCAACATATCGCAGCTGACGATGATCTCAAGCTGCAGCAATATATCCAAGTGGACCAACCTGCACGTGCGCAACATGACCATGGAGGACATGGACCTCTCCAACCCAATTTTCAGATCCCTGCAGTCGCTTGCCGTGACGGACGGCAATATCACCCGACTGGTGAACGCCTTCCCGCGACTCTCGGCCCTCAAGTGCCTAAACATATCAAACAACAACATCTCGGAGATCCACTCGAGGGCGGTGAAGGACGTGCCCCATCTGGAGTTCTTTGGCATGTCGAACAACAATCTCTCGCTGGTGCCACACCGAAACCAGAACAAGAACATTACACTGGATATCAGGTGAGGATGGCTACATGTTCAGAAAAGGAAAGCAAGCCTAACCCAACGATTTTTTCCAGTGGCAACATGCGCATGCTGTGCACCCCGCTAAACGAAATCATATACACCGAATCCATTAATTTTCTGAACCTGAAGCACTCCTACTGTCAGTACAACGCCACACACAAGTGGTTTCAGTCCACAGACAAGGTGTCCATGGAGCAGCTGGAGAACAGAAAGCGGTGTGTGACGAATTGCCCGGTTATTCCGAACTACGGCAGCTGCAACTGCACAATGGAGAACATTATGATCATACAGGACAACCAGTCAAAGGCCCAGTGCCATGTAGACTGCTCCAATCTTGGTCTGGTAGAGCTACCCCAAAGACTGCCGGACAACACATTCATGCTCAATATCACAAACAACAAGATAACCAGCCTGGGCGATTACTTTCAGACGAACCCCACCTATCACAACATTATCCGACTCCTGGCCGATAATAACCAGATAGCCTCCATCTATGAGTTTGAGGGCACCAAGTTCATAGAAAGTTTTCAGCGCATCTACATGCGGAACAATTCGCTAAGCAAGGTGAGTGTGCTAACTAACATTACTCTGCGAATCCCTGAAACCAAAAAGTGTATCTATCCACCACGATTTAGATTCCGGAGTACTTTCTTAACAATGCCCTACTGGACTCCGGCCTAGGCCGTCGAATCTACCTGGCAGGCAACAAGCTCCAGTGCGACTGCTACTCGGCCAAGACGCTGCTAAATTGGCTGAAGGAGCGCAGCTCCGATATACCCGACTACATGGACATACGCTGCCGAAACATGCCTCAGAGAGTCATCGAACTGCAAGAGGCTAAGCTGTGCCAGTCTCCTCCAGACTGGACCGACTACATATACTATTTAATAGCCGCCGAGGTCATCCTTCTGCTCGCCCTAATTACCAAGGTGTCCTACGACTATTGGGTCTTCAAGACGGCTGGCTATCTGCCCTGGCCGGCTAGCAAAATGCCCAAGTTGCCTTGCGATTGGCTGTGCGAATCGTAGAGATGCGACGCAACTTCGATTAGAGCCAGACTGGAGAGAAGATGGCCAAACAGACGGCCAGACCGTGACACAATCACATGACAGAACGTATTTTCATACGTGTCCTACCTTTATATGTATCCGACTGTATCTGCGGAACCGTGTGCCTTTTGCCTTTTATATACATATGTGAACGATTTTTGTGGTGTGTAGCCTTAAGGACAGTGTGCATGTACTTGTCGTTATGTAGTGGGTGCATCTGGAAATATAGACAGAGTAACGTTGATCAGCACCATTGCTTAGGGTCCGTAAGCTTAGTCAGCCTACTTACTTGTAGTAAACACAGCAGAGAACGACGAATAAATCAATAGAGAAACTCGTGTTCGGAGTTCATTTTACGAATGATATTTATTGTTGTGGTTTGTTGTGATTTAAATAGAATAATTATTATTAAGAAAAAAATACGCACTTCCAACTCTTCCGATGCAGCTCCAATCTCAAATCTCAAATCCGAATTGAGAATTGATTTCTGCACCTCCCTTCTCCCAGTGGGGCGAGGGTTTTGGTTTGGTTTGGTTTTAAATCGTCATTAGATCGATACTAGATCGTGTTCGCGATGCCAAATACCTGTGTAGGCGTGTGAGTGTGGTGTCAGTATGATCGTGTGTAATGTGCCTTTTGGGGATATAAGTAGGGTCACGATTCGCCTTCGATTCGGGCACGTTCCCTGGTTTAACTTTATACTTAAATATGTTGACTTGGTATTATTAGGGGACTCTTTAACACTGCCTTTGCATAGGTTGTTATTTATTATCGTCGTATTCATTGTAGGCATGTATATATGTTCTTTTAAGTGTGTATTCGTTGCGTGGTTTGCATGTAAATATATGTTATACATATTCGTCGAATGGCGCTAAATAAACAATACAAATCTTCTAACTTAGGTAATAAATATTTGTCTTTTTGTGTATATGCATGTAAATGTCTTGAGCGCGCACCTAAGGGGTCAAGTGTTTGGCGTTTAGTCTTGAATTGAAGTCAAGTCCATTGCACATTGGGCATCTAAACTGGGCCTACCTATAAAAGACACGGCTCACTGTTGTGGGCCACACGGTCCGCATCATCAGCAGTGGCCTGGAGAAGGTGTATTTGAGCTATTGGATATACATGTAATAGAACTATGAATTTATACATACATATGTGAGTAGCGAATAGCAGATGCAGATACATATACTCTAAAGTGTTCATTGTAACCTGTTGTGGTATGGTGTGTTGTGGTATGGTGTTAGATCTTATGCTACAGCGCTCGTCCACTCCCGAGAGGATCGGGATCTGTGTGGCGAACTCGACCGACCTAATTTAGACTTCGAAAATTGAACAATTTAAGGTATGCATGTTTGTGTTTAATTGATATAAAACGTGGCAGAGGTGCAACAAATTTCGTTCAAGTCGTGTGTTACAAGTTTATTAAAAGTAAATTAGCCTATAATACTGAAGTCTAATACTGGGCGGGCAGTAAATGTAACAAATCTATATGTGTGTGCATGGGTGTGCCGTTTCCCTTGTGTCCATCGAAATCCATACTGGGATTTGGATATTCCAAAAACAATGCAATCGATCATGCTTGAAAGCCTGATCGTCTGGGCAAAGCCCAAGTGTAAACTAACCGTGGATGTGACCTTGCTGGCCAGCCACTGACCACCGTTTGATGTGGCGTGTAGCGTTGAATGCATATAGCTAAGGATATATGTTTTACCCATTTGATAGGTGCAGCATGTAAACAATAGAACCGTCGGTAGTCCGATGGGCACAAGCACTCTCCGCAATTCCAGCCGGGAATAACGAGCTGTGGCCTCCTTTAGGAGCAGGAGGGAGTGCTCTTTGTGGCTTCTTGTGGGGGATAAAATTAGCTAGTCATCTTCTAACAAAAATAAGTACAATATCTTTAGCTTTCGTATTTCATATTGTATCTTGATGAGCTACATATATAGAACTATCAGTCTCACGTCCCATACCAAGGTAATAATAAAAATCTATGACATATTATTTAAGTACATACGTAGATCTGTACATGTGCATAATGGTTAATCTTCAATCGGCCTGTGCTCCTACGACTGTGTGTTGTGTGGCGTTTTGCTTTGCTATGCAGTGTGTATGGTTCTAAGTGTGATTGTGTTTGGCCAGGTCCTGGCCTCTGAATCCCACATCCTGGACTTCAGATTTTAATTTTAGATTTTGGATTCTGGGGCAGGGGCAGGGAGTGCGCTGGGCGGGACCTCAACACATAGTCCACTTGTATGGATGTAGGGATGTGTCGTGGCATGGTGCTGGGGATTATGGTGATGGTGTCTTGGAGAACGTATTGTTCTCCATCGCCAAACGCTGCCCCATCTCCTGCTCTCGACCTATATGACCTATAACTTCGTCGAAACAACAACAAAAACACAACATGCAACAAGTACATCAATGTAAGCGAATACATACATAAATACATTCATCTGGGCATTTTTACTCTGGTGCATGGGGTGTACGGTTGCCCGTTTTTGTATCTTTTTTTTTTTGTTTTTGTTTTTATGGGGGTGCACAAATTACTTATACGGCTTTTGATTTGTGATTCGATTCGATACTGTATGCTTTCGTTTAGGTTTGCTCCGATCATTTGCCTTGCGCTTTTACAGACAACACATAACGTACATCGGATGCTGGAGGTGTGCAAACACACATTTGTGTACGACAATTAGATGATAGTAAATACAAGTACGATGTGAGTCCGTGCTCAACAAACGAAAAGGCGTTTGCCCTTCATATTCAATCATAACTATCGTTTCTGTTCCGTTCTCTTTTGTCAATGCCTCCAACGTTTCTCTATCGGATTCGGATTTGGATTCGGAATCGTAGTCCACGCATATAATGGGGATGGTGCTGATGGGCCTCGACTCGTCCGGTCCGCAATTTCAGATATAAATCAGATACAAACTGCTCCGATTAAATGTCAATTTTAGCTTCGTTCCACGCCAATTTCCAGTTGTGTTAAAGTATCTCGGTCTCGTACAGCTGTTTAGTGGTCGTTGTGGCTGTCTGGTGTTGGGAGTTCAAGTTCAAATTCGAGTTGGAGTTGGAGTGTGCAGCAGCAGCGCTCGCACCAGCCGCCCCTGCAGCTCCACCACCACCACCACCGCCGATCGCACCGCTCGTAGCATCACTGGCCACCACGCCATTGGTAGCCGCAGCAGCAGCCGCCGCCGCCGCAGCTGCGGCACCACTAGTCTCGCAGGCCAGACTCAGGGCGGCGATCTTCTGCTGGATGTTCGTCTCGCTGCCCAGCTTGCGGAGTGTGTTGCTGCCACTGGCAATGTCCTGCGAGGAGGAGGAGGAACAGGCCACATCCACCGAGGGCAGCTTGCTCATCTGCTGCAAGCGCTGGTACTGCTCCTGCAGCATCTTTTGCTTCTTGAGCAGCTCCTGGTGACGCATCTCGAGGGCCACCTGACGCTGGACATGGTCGTTGCCGGACTCGTTGCCGCTCGAGTTGTCACCGCTTGAGGTGTCGCCGCTAACCACGGCCGCTGTGTCACCCACTGTGCCCTTGTTTCCTGTGGCATTGCTATTGACATTGGGATTGGCGCTGGCATTCGAATTGGAATTGGGAATCAAATTGACTGTGGCTGTGGCTGCGGCAGCCAGGTTTTGTGGCACGTTCGGGCTGGTTGGACTGGCCAGTGGACTGCGTGAGCTGGTGCGTGGCGGCGGAGGTGGCGGTATGCGCTTGTGGCCCACCTTGGTGATCAATTCAGCGTTTCGCTCGGGCACGGGTGGCTTGTTGCTGCTGCCGCCGTTGGCCAGGCTGGTCGAGGACGAGGTCTCGCTGGCCCGCGGGCCAGTCGGTGGCGGCCCAGACAGTTCGCCATCCGACTCACTGGGATAGGAGTGCAGTCGTCGCAGGCTGCCCATGTTGGTGTGCACCATCAGCTGTGCCTGCGACTGCGACTGCGACTGCTGGTGGATGAGCACTCCTCGCTGGGATTGAGCCTGAGCCGAAACATTGCCCGAGGCGACAGCGATGACCATGCTGCCGGTGGTCGCTTGCTGCATATTGACGCTCGCCTCCGTGTAGAGACGGGCCTGCGATATTTGCGTGGTAACGGTGCTTTGTACTGCGGCCTGGGCGCTTTCGTCGGATGCCGAATCTTCAGGGCGAATCTGCGGAGGGAGACTTGGACCCCTTGAGTTCGGCTGGGGATGGGGGACGCGCTAGGTGAGCACACTTACCTCGTATAGTTGCTGGTGTTGCTGCTGCTGTTGTTGCTGCTGCTGCTGTTGCTGCTGCTGTTGCTGTTGCTGCTGCTGTTGTTGGGCGATGGGCTTGGAGAATGTCTTGAGCTCATCTAGCAGAGCATCGAGTGCGTTTTCGGGTGCGAGTCCCCCGCTGAGAGCGAACGACCCCATCCTGGGTGTTGGGATTGGCTACAAGAACACACAATTTGGCGGTAAAACACTGGCACTAATGCAGCTCCCGGGAGGCGAAGGCGAGATATAGTACACAATATATATAGATATATATATATATTAATTTATATATATATAGAAAGAAGTCGAATAACATCTCACATTTATACATTCGGCAATTAGGTACTCAAATGGGACATGTATATGCTCGCAAATTATCTGAATACGCATACAAATCTGATACAATACGCAAATAACCCAGCAATACGAGTATATGCATCTACAGGTGTAGCCAAACCAAAAAGGGGCGCCAAGGCGTTGAGATATTGTAGGTGCAGTTGCATAGGTTCGGATCATGCAGTGACTTTACTGAACAATCAATCAAACAAATAGGCAAATGGCAAATGGCAAATAGAAACACATATGGAAGCGTATAGTACATGATCGGTTGCCGGATAGAGTGAGTCAGTACATCGAGCTAATGCATATTCACAAGCAGGCAACAGGCAAAGGTAAGCGTTCTACATGGGTGGTACATGGTACAGTGGGTGATACGGTACGGTATGAGGGTGAGCGATGGTGTATCCAAGGCACAAGTACACATGTGGTATGCAGTATAGTTAACCAATAACCAATAACTTTAAAGGCGACGCGGCGAATGAAACGGGGTGGATGCGTATGCGTATGCGGATGCAAATGTGATTGACAGATGATGTTCTTGTATTCTCTAAGCTCCAAGTGGAAATGAATTGCACCCCACGGGGACGTAGTATATCCGTGGGCTCCACGGAAGTATTCACCGAGTACAATGCAAATTATGTCGGGGACTAAGTGTCTTCTATGTGGTATACGAGTATGCCATGGTGTTTCTACTGACCCCCTTCAGATCGCATGATCGAGAGTAGATCTCAGGGTTTGGGTGCGGTCAGTGTGGTGGCTCTTATTGCTTAGTTGGTACTTATAATTCTAGCTCTAGTTCTGATCATGAGTTTTGGAGGGAAAACGCTCTTAGAGTTACGCGTGTGATTGATGAGGGGCTGATAGGTCGATGGATTGGTAGATTGTTGAAACTTCAAAGACAACAATCGATGAGTGAGAACAGTGACTGACGACTGACAGTGATGACTGTTTGCATTCTTGATTGACTGCAATACAATTGGCCGTTTGATTGTCTGGTTAAGATTAATTGCTTGGTACTAAGATGGGTTATGACTGGGGGAGCTCGGAATGTTCGGTATGAGGGACTGGAAGTTCGGGGAAGTGGCTGTTCTGTACGTACATAAACGGGTACACACACTTATACATACATATTCTCTAATTTGTATATTGGAGTATTGGAATATTGGCATATTGGCATATTGGTATATTGGTATATACACACACATGATCGCAACTACAAAATATCAATTAAGAGTTAAACAGATTTGGGTACGAGTATGCGTGTCGCGATTATCTGAGTTAGGTGAATGTCTCTTCGTCAGCGGGGAGTGTTCGTACGATTGAAATGAATGGAAACACTTGAACAGATGCACAGATCACGGGAGCAATGGGCACTAAAGAGCCCTATTTAGGCTCTAACTCGGTACCTCCGCACTTACAAGATAAGTGCCACTTAAAACACTCCACTTCCGGCTGCGTGTGATTGCCTCGAATCATACTGACCCTCGTTAGCACGGGTGTTCATCGATGGGTCTCGGACAACATGACTAATCGCACGACTGAGGAGGAAGCTTCAACCGGAACTGGAGATCCAGACAATCAAGTTTTAAGCGAGCTTACCGAGGGGGTGGGGGTGTACACATTTGGGGAAGGAGACAAAGACAAACAACATGTACAACAAGGAACGAACACCAACAGAAGAATTGCAAAGCAGCGAACACTGAAAACAAAACTGCTCGTACGTACATACGAGTATATGGAAATATGGACATGGGAACGGATTATGGTGATTCTGGGCATGGGTCTGGATGTGGGTGTGCTTATTTCAAGGCGTTTTTAGGGTCGGAACACGTGTGGAGAAGAGTCAATGTTGCATTGAGTCAAAGGAAAGTGGTTTATAGTTAGCCCCTTTTGAAGACACGGAAAGAATTTCGTTTTACAATCGGAAAGCAAGTAAGAAGTTTGGCTTTGTTCATTCAACTTTGCGCATTTGAAATCTGGATCTTAAGAAAGAGAGTTAATGACTTGTTAATAGAGTAACTCCTGGACCGGATCGGAAAATGGAAAGCGGGTGGGAGACTGGGGCTTCCAATGGTAATCACACACAAACAGCCATTCAAATGGACTTTTCATTATACATACATATGTACACAGGATGCACAGGAACATGGGCATGTAGCTATGTTGGGTTGTTTGGTTTGGTTGTTCGGTTGGTTGGTTGGTTGGTTGGTTGGTTGGTTGGTTGGTTGGTTGGTTTGTTGGTTGGTTGGTTGGTTGGTTGGTTGGTTGGTTTAAGGAGTGTTCTTCTGGTGGCTTATGGACAGCTTTGATGATTGATTTGATATGGGTTTCGAGTTTAGTACGAGTATTAGTTTAGTTAGAAGTTTATAGCAGTAGTAAATAGTATACAAAATATAAACTAGTATGTTTAATGCAGAGCAAATTATGTTTAGCAAAAAGAAAATTGAATTATTCTTATGATTTCATCTTTTTCAAAAAGGTATTTTTCTTTTTGGTTTTAATTATATTTGGATTTTGGTTGAATTTTTTTAGGTTTGTTTGTTTGTTTGGTTTTTTTTTTTCGTAAATGTTCTTTTATATTTGAATTTTCAGTCATTACTCAGTAATTGCCTCTTTGAAGTTTGAACTCCATCGCCAGTTAAACTATGTGGGTTGTAGTTGTTGTTGTAAACGTTATTCAAAAAATGTTTGAGAAAAGGCAAAAAGAGAAAACGAAGGTAAACCTCATTTTATAAGACGTTAGCTTTGCTTTATAAATTAACTTGTTGTGTTCTGTTTGATTATTTGGATTTATTCGTTCTCAGCATGGATGATGGTCGCAACTGGATACTTGTTGGTTAAACAAAATGGTATGTATCTGTAGTTGTAGTTCTTGTATTCGGTTGCTAGTTAGTTGTGTGCTCAAATATCTAAGGCCCAACAGGGCAAGCTCAGAACAATTAGCTTTAGGGTTAAGTGGCAAGGGACAGTAGCAGGGGCAAGTGGCAGGGGCAAGGGGCAGGGGCAAGGGGCAGGGGTCTAGGTCTATTGGGGTCAAGAGGTCAAGGGGGCGCGGAACACGGGACGCGGGTCGAAGGTCATCGCGATGCCGTTCAATTCGAATTGACTGGACTGCATCGAATTTCGATACTGCTACACTCGCCGAAGGAATTTGTTAAATGGTTTTGAATAATTTGTGTGAAATGAACGATGAACCAAAACACTATTTATGTAACAACAGCCAATTGCAACTTATTCATAAGATAAACGCACAAAAGATAAACCGAAGACTACAAACGCATAAATGTAAGGTAATCAAAATTATTTCGTTATTCAAATTTTGCACAGTACCCAATTCAAATGAAAAATCACCGCCTCAACTCGAAGTGAAGAGTCTGATGTTGGATACGCTTCAATCGACTCTGCTTCTACATATGTACATACATGTATCGCGTATCCATAAATGTGCTTTTCCCGCTACATTCGACTAGGACAGACGGACCTAGGACGGACCTTTTGGGGAAAACGAGGTTTCGAAGCACCTACATATGCATATGATAATGTTCGTTAAGAAGTACGAGTATCGCAGGATCGCAGGATCGCAGACTCGGGTGAAAGCTACGAGTTTCGAGAGAAGATCAGATCTTATCTGGTGAGGTGGATTCGAAATAAAAGCATAGCAAACTCGATATATGGTAGGACGAAAGCAACTAATCTCTGCGATAGAAATAGTGGAAACAATACTTTTATACATATGTATATATAGTCATGACACGTTATGGAGCAGTAGTATAATATGTATATAAGTATATGAAAATCGAGGCGTGGTCAGGCCTCATAACGCTTTCATCGATTTGGCTGAACTAGCTCTGTGTAACTGTCGCAACACCACGTTCTCTATCCCTCCAGGCACCTCGGATGCTTCGCACTCACCTTGTCGGGCGCCGAGATGTCCGCGGACCGCGGTGGCTCCTCACTTATAGTTGGCTCGTTCGGCGGCAGCCGTTGCTCCTGCACGCTGGCCAAGCTGTCAATGCAGAAAAGAGACAATGAGCTCCTCGTTGCGGACTCGGGATGATGGGATGATGGATGAGGGACCACTGGACTGTGCTACAAACCGTTTGAGCGTCACCAATGTGCCGGTCAGCTTCTTGCAGCGCCGTAGCGCCGACTCCAAGCGGTCGGGCTCTTCTTTGAGGAACTTTTCTTCTCGCACCACTTTCTCCATCTCGTTGGACAGGATGCAGCGCAAGCCATTCGAAAGGGATGGGAACTTTAGCTTCAGCTCGGCGACGGTTTTGCTAAAAAAAATAACTGGTTTATTGCCCGATCCTGGGTCTATTGCACCACCCACCTTGCCCGGCTCAGCACCAGAGCCATGTCTTCCACGGCCGTCATGTTGACGCGAGTGCGCCGGTTAATGACCTCTCCGCGCAGGTTCTCAACTGACCCCTCCAGGTCGCTGAGGTCCTTCTCCAGACGTATGACTTCCTGCTTGTAGAGCTCTTCCTCGCGCGAAATGCGAGTGGCGTCCTGGTCGCCCTGGTGATCCCAGAAGCTGCCACTGCTCGCCAGCAGAGTGGCGCGAATCCGCATGAAGGTTCCCTTGATGTCTTCGCGCACGGCGACAGCCTGAGCCTGCGAGAGGCGCCTCAGGGTGCGGACCTCCATGCGCAGGTCCTTGGCCTTCTTCTGCAGGCCGCGCAAGTGGTTGTATACCTCGGGAGCCAGGGCAATGTCCGCCCGGTAGTTGGGATGAGCGGTCTGAGCTAGCACGATCGGCTTGGGTGGCGGAGGAGGCTTTAGGCGGTCACGCTCTGAGGAGGGAGGGTAGATGGTCAGCAAAGCACGTTTCGGCGAAATGGGCAAATTGTTAATGGACAAAAGTGGCTGATGCAGGCGTGCCGTGTTCTTACCTTGGGACGAGGTGCGTGGAAGGGTGGACGACTTGATTGCCGGCTTGGTTGGCTTCGTTTCAGCTGTACAGACCACGCCCATGTCGGAGGCGGTGAGCGGCAGTGGTGAGAAAGGGAAACGGATGGCTTGCATTGTGTCTAGGAAGCGTTCCACCCACTCCATTCAACCACACTCAGAATAAAATTCGCACTAACTTCAAAAAATCGCCAATCGAACTCTAATTTGACCAGCAAATATCTGTGCAACCTAATTTCTCTCATATAAGAGGGATTATCTGAGTTGTTGGTCGATTTTTATTCTGAGTGCAAGGCTGTTTAAATAAATTACCGGCATGTAGGGGATTGTGAGACTTTGGTATTCCCTGTATGTCATCGCTAAATGACACTGACTTCTCAAAGGACACGGATTTTTCTGCAAGACAAGGACAAGAAATGTGACGGCTGCAGAGGATTGGGGTTCTGGCTTCGGTGACACTTACGGCACGAGTTTTTGCCCAGCTTGGGAGCTTTCTCCCGAATGTACAGCTCATCCCCGGAGCCATTGGCTGCGCAGCGTGCGGAAGAGAGAACAAATTAAATATGTAATTAGAGGAAAGACCGGGTGGAAGGAGTCCGGGATTTGGGCCAGGTCTTTGGATCTACAAAGCGGTGCTTCAAGCAAAGCGGGTGCCGGGGACAACATCTAGGGATGGCAGGTACTCATATTCATACCTTGCATCTGCGACGGCACAACCAAATAATTGGAGTCCAAGGTGGGCACGGCCAGCGGGGCAATCTGTGGGTTCTGGTTAACCAGGGCCTTCTGCACTAGTCCCGTCAGGTTGGCCAGCTGCCTTTCCATGTGCTCCACGCGAATCCGGTGCAAGTCTTCTGGCCTGCAAGTGCGTAAGCAAAAAGCCACCAAATCAGTACAAAACATAAAAACTTGTCGCCAGGTGTTGCGTGCCGCCAGGCAGCGATTATTGGGCCACACATCCGCTGGCACCACAATGCTCCAATTGCGCAGCCAAGCCTAGGCATCCGACATCAGAGCATAGACACCGGAATTGGATTTGGAATCCAAGTCGAAGTCGAACGTGGGTCGCAGCACTTAGCGCATGGGAGCGTGAACCAAAACAGCGAGAATGCAGCTGCCTGCATGAGCCGATACTCGACTGCTTTATACCCTAACCCGCGCTGCGCTGCGCTGTCAGCCCTCTCAGCTGGTCCAATATACCCTCCGTTTCGTGCGGCCGTTGGAAGCAGCAAAAGTAAGTCCGTGCTAGCACGCAATATCGGTGGCAATCCGCTTTCGTAGTCGACGAGTTGGAGCTGCGCAAGAACGACCAAGAGCTGCCCGCCAAGACATGACTACATGCAGTGGTATGTACGATGCAATTCCATATGATTGGGAAACCCAGTGGCCCTGGACTCATGACCAATCCGAACAGTGACCAGCACACCAGCGCGGTTCGCCCGCTGCCTGGCTAATTTCCAGATGGACGAGCTGCTGCTGCTGAAGAAGTCCGTGCTGAGTATGGAGGGGCTGGATAATAACGATATCATCGCTCCGACTACCGAATGCCCACAGATGGAGCCGCATGGATCGCCGCTGCCAGAGCGAATGGCCTTGATGGCCGCAGATCGGTAAGCCTGCTGGCGATTGGCTGAGAACACAGCTTTATGTACTAGATTATTGCAGGGGTGAGCACGACACCACCGGCTCCAGTGGTCCTTGGCACTCCCATCCACACGCGCCGATTTCCTGGACGGAGCAGAAGCCCTCCAAGTTGCAGACCCTCTTCCAGATCAGCATTACGGCCCTGGCCTTTCTCTCCTTCGGCGGCTATCTGCTCTGCCTTATCGTGCAGGCCATCAAAAGCAAGGGCACCACCTACTTCCACCCGGTGGCCACGGCCACCACCAGCTCATCCAACGGCAATGTGAAGCGCATCAAGATATACCGCCGCAGCAAGCGCAGCTCCGCTCGCCACGACACCGATCTGCCGATTCTGCTGCAGCAGGACTACGTCTCCTACATGAAGTCTGTGCGGGATCGCGGCTGGAGCATGCTTACCTAGTGGGATCGTAGATCTGGTTGCCGCGGTGCGTGAGTCGGTTGGGTCCCGGCCCCACCTTGATGCCGTACAGTGCGTACTGATCCTCTGTCATGGTTCCATCGCTGTAAATGGCACAAATTAGTTAAGATGCTACTCCGCAACAACTACTTATATTCCTACTCCCCCTCGCACCTCTGCTCCTCGTCGATGATGGGCGCCACTACGGCGCCCCTTGTTCCGTACTGGCTGTAGTACGGCTCCTCGTAGTTTCCGCGGCTGCTGCGCTCCGGGGAACTGGTGTATCCATCTGCAAATACAGCCTGGTCGGTTAGAACTGGGACTCCTCATGGTGGGAGGATCGTAGCTATGTGCGTGCTTGGTGGCCTATAATTTCTGATTGAATTTAGGTATAACGAAACGCAATAAAGGAACGCAACCGAACAATTCGAAATGAAGCGAATGAAATGCATGATTGGGGCCGCATAATTACATAAATGCTTCCGATTGGATGTGTGGATAGTGCACAGTCAGTGTGCTTTTAAGATTGAGTTTCAGTTTGGTTTTCAATTTGAATTTCAAGCGCAAGCCAATGGGTAATCAAATGCAATTGTTGGGATGTGAAATGTGTAATGCGAAATGTGAAATGTCACTGCTTACATTGCACACATACATTGGGTACATGGAAGCGATCGTACAATGCTAGCTACAAGTGGATAGAAAGGCAAATTCTCGTGTACCTGGAATGCTGTATAACTGATCCGGGGTGTAGGGGAACAGGGGTTCCATGCTACCCCTTGGATTAAGTGATCTGAGTGGTTTCACAGGCGCTCCTTTTTCGGTTCGTTGGTTCAGATAGGTTTGGTTTGGTTTGGTTCGGTTCGGTTTGATTGGTGTTCGAGTTTGGGTGTGTTAATGGTTATGGATGGAACATGAATCATATTTAGACTGGGCTTTCACTGCAGAATGCGCATGACAGAGAACTGAACTGAACTTAACAGAACTGAACTGAACCGAAACGAGACCCGCAAAATACGCATAATAAAGTATGTTCCCGGGAAGATGGGAAGCGGTGGGCAGGAGTGGGTCGGGTCAGGTCAGGTCAGGTCACCTAAGGAGGAGGATGAGGAGGATCGGTCAACTCAAAACAAGAGTGCACTACTTGGAGCGAATCAAAGGAATACAAAATCAATTAGTCGGCAGCCTCGACTACTCTACGCACCCATCGACACCTTGTTGCGTTCTGAAGAGTACATGCCTCGCGGCAGTGTCTGCGATGAGCCCACGTAGTAGGGCGCCGGTTGTTTCCCAATCTGAAAGACGGATGGATGGATAAACGGCGTTGGATTAGTTCATTGTATCGTGTATCGCCGGAGGCCAGTGGCAGGGGCACGAGTATTTTGATTAACATTGCCAATTGGCCTTCGTTCAAGAAGTGAAATGAAATGGCCAATATGGTTTCTCCTCTCTATTTGCTATAATGGTTTGCAGCCCATCCCAAATCATTGCGTACGGACACGTACTCGCTGGCACACTGAGAGAAATGCGAGTCTAGTTTGCCGCAGCACATGATCAATATGCTATGATGTATATGACAGTATATTGAGAGTCAAATCAAAATTCGAAAAGTAATTAAAACTATCGAAGACATCCTTTCAAGTCTCTACTTCGAAAGCCACGATTAGATCTTGGACACATTTGTTTTGTGGCCAACATCAATGCTTCACACTATGCTATGGCTTTGATTGGGACTCAATCGCGGGCTCACGGCCGTGGCCAGATGAATACCAGTTAATTGGCATACATATGTACATACATCCACCAAAGCCACTAGAATAATAAGATGCGTAACGGGCATACATTGGTTTTGCACTATGCAGCCACTTTTTTGTTGGCGGAGACGTGCTAGAAGACGGTTTTCGGTCCGAAATCAATTTTGATCTAAGAAACGAATTTAATTAATGTTTTGGTCAATTTCGTTGTAATATGAGCTAAATATTATTTAAAAATTGATGCCGTGACTACTTTATGTATGTATGTATGTATGTTAGTATGTATGTATGTATGTATGTATGTATGTATGTATGTATGTATGTATGTATGCATGTATGTATGTATGTGTTACTTGCACAAAGAAGTAAAATTGTCTTAATTAAAGCCTGAAGAATGTTTAACTTACTGTCGGAACACATGTTATTGCCGCTTTTACTATTTGTTTAGGAAAAATATTTTCTTGTAGCCCTATAATTCCCAACTAGTTCTAGTCAGGACTGTAAGGCATGTCTTCTAATTTCGAGTCGGAAAATAGTTCAGGGAAGCTGTCCTACCGGTCGAGCAGTGAGTGTAGTGTATGTACCGGTGTATGTATGTATGTAAGTACCGGTGTATGTATGTATGTATGTATGTATGTATGTATGTATGTATGTATGTATGTATGTATGTATGTATGTATGTATGTATGTATGTATATATGTATGTATGTATGTATGTATGTATGTATGTATGTATGCATGTATGTATGTAGGTATGTATGTATGTATGTATGTAGGTATGTATGTATGTATGTATGTATGCAGTACATGTGTTATTTGCACAAAGTAGTAAAAATTGTCTTAATTAAAGCCTGAAGAATGTTTAACTTACTGTCGGAACACACAGTTATTGCCGCTTTTAATATTTGTTTAGGAAACATATCTTCTTGTAGCCCAACTAGTTCTAGTGAAGACTGTAAGGCATATCTTCTAATTTAGAGTCGCAAAATAGTTCAAGTAATCAAGTAATCAGCGAGTGCAGTGTATGCGTTCTTTAAGTGAGTAGTAAAAATTGTCTTAAATAAAGCCTAGAAAATGCCCGAAACGTATTTGAAACGCATTGGCACAATGGCAACGTATAAATCAAACGTATGAATAAAAATCTTTTCTGTTTTTTCATCCTTTTTTGAAATTTGCAGCCTATTTTTTCCGTTTTTTTTCTCAATCTGTCCTTCTTTATCAGAAAAATATTGGCATCGCTGATGCGTACAAGAGAGCTGCTGGCTCTAGAGCGCTCTCTCTCTCTGGCTCTTGAACAAAAATTCGAGAGAGCCTGGAGAGCCAGCACGAAAAATCGTGTGCAAAAAAAGCGTATTGCGTCTTATTATCTATTATTCTTATCTCATCTTATTATTCTAGTTTCTTTGCATCCACCCACCACTCCTCTACCCGCACCAACTACATAAATTCGCTGAATTCGCTGAATTCGCTGAGTTCGCGGAACTCGACGCGTTTTCCTATTTTCGTCTTGCGCTGAGTGGCATTATTGGCGATCATTGGGTCAAGGAGGTGGATCTGCTGCCCAGGCAGAGCTGGGCGCAAGCAAGGTGCATCGGATTATCGAGCCCCGGAGTGCAGCAAGTGCAAGTGGTTGGCTCATTCAACGCCTGCCACGGCGCAATGCGGGCCACCTCAGCCCACAAACCTCAACCAGTTTCAGATTCAGTTTCGATTTCAATACAACAATTTTACAATTTGTTACAACCGAGCGGGACTGCGACTCCGACTGCGACTGCGACTGACGGCCAGCTGAGCAGAGCTCGGCGGCAGAGCTGCTGTTTTTGTTACGGCAGCGGCTGGGTTTTTGGCGCAACTCAACCTGGCTCTGGCGCATGCGTGGATGATTAGTGAAGTGCGAGACATCGCGGCAATCGGACGTTACAGACGCGTGGAAGATCGAATCTTCAGGACCCGGTCCCAGACCCAAGCCCAGACCCACACCGAGACTAGGATCGCAGCCAGCATCAATCGGAGTGACAGTAGCCCAGTAAACGAAATGGCGCAGCGAGTTCCTCTAACGCTGCTCGGTGTGATGCTCCTCAACGCGGCCACCTCCTTCGCCTGGAAGCCCATCGCCGTTAGCGGCGGCAGCGGGATTAGTGGCGGCACAGCCGCCTACAGCATCAAGCAATCGCATCCGGGGGCGGCGAGCAGCAGCCATGAAATATCCACTAGCTTCTCGCAGTTCGGCGGCGACAAGGAGACCACCGAGGTCGAGGACGAGCTTCTGCTGGGCCGCGCTGCCATTGTGAACGGCGTCGATTCCAGTGCAGCGGTGTCCCATCCAATCAGCTTTGCAGACCACTTGGAGGACCAGTACGAGTCGTACAGCATCGAGGACGAGGCCCCCAAGGAGCCGCTGGCGTTCCCGCGCACTCCGCTGTACGGCTCCGATCGCTGCAGCGTCAAGAAGTTCGCCTTCAACCAGGACGGCGAGGTGGAGTACGGCAATCCGATGCCGGAACTGGACCAGTTCACTATCTGCTTTTGGATGCGATTCACCAACCACAGCGGCGACCACGTCCTCTTGACCTACGAGGGTAAGTGACTGGGCTGGGGTGGGGATCAGCCTCTCACCGTGACTTGCTTCAGCGGGAAGCGAGACAACGGCTGCACAATGATCACTGGGCGAACGCTGTTGCATAAGCGGACAACGGGAGATTGAAGACGGACGTCGATCTTTTGATGGGCATGGGCCACCGCTCCAGCGAGAGACCTTCGCTATGGGCAATGAAATTTTATTTGTGAATTGTGAATTTGTGGGCCACGCTCCGGCAATCGCACCTGGCTGCGATTGAGTGGCTGCGAAAGTGAAAGGAAGCCCACTTCCTGATGCAAGTCGGCACCCAGTTTGATGGTCAGCCATGATGCTGGCGAAGATTATGACGAAGGTGCTGATGGTGGGATGAGAAGTGCTGCTGCACAATGCTGCCTTCAAGATTCGCTTTGTTTTCCAACGCTTTGAATATTTGGATATTTTCAACTACTCCAGGTCGTCGATGCCACCGCTGCTCTTGGAGTTGCTGGCGTTGTTGATGTTGATGTTGTTGTCTGCGTTGTTGTCGTTGCGGTCGCATTACATAAGCGATAATTTACCTGTTTCCAGTTGGATGTCGTCGGCATTGTTGGTGTCGCACTCTCAGCCGTAGCAGCTTAAGCCAATGCTGAAGCTATCGCTTAAACTGAACTGAAGCTGAAGCTGAAGCGGCGGGCCTTAGCATTTGACATAATTCCAGAGCGCCAGCTCAAGTAGCGGGCCATGGCGATGGCGATGGCGATGGCGATCAGCGATCAGCAGCCAAGCTTCCGGATAGGAAGTGCTTCACTCACAGCCGGTGGTGATTTGGTGATTCATATTTAAATGTATGCATATCACATGTTGGCAGCGTAACAGGATTTGCCGCATGCCGGTTGTATAACCAACCGCCTAGCTCCCCGCTTGAGTGGGTTTCCTGATCGCATCTGTGGGGGATTCCTCGTGGTTTGAGGTGACTAGTGACCAGTGATCAGTGACTAGCGGCTAGGGCAGCGAAACGTTCTGGCCACCGAATAGTGGTGTTGGTATTTGGGAATGCTGCTCCACTCAGTTTCGCAATCTGAGCTGGCCGACTAGCCATCGGCTGTTACCATTATTGGCATGAAAGCGAGTCTCAAAGCCAATCTGATCCACTTATGCATCCACATGCACATTCGCACTTACAGCTAAAAAGGAACCACGCGAGGTGCAAATCTGGGTCGCAAATGCGCAGAATTCCAGTTTCCTTTCGATGGCCATAAAAGGTCAGCAAATGTACAGGTGAGTCGAGACGCAACCATCCATCCATCGATCAATCCAGCGTCAATCCATCCAATCTTTATCGTTTCTGCTCAGATTGAACTACCCGCTGAAAATGCGCCAGTGGCATCACATGTGCAGCTCGTGGAATGGCAAGACGGGCGAGTGGCAGGCCTGGCTGAAGGCAGAACGCATTGGGCGTGGTTTCCACAACTCGGTGAGTGCGATTTGACTCCAATTACGCATATTGCGAAATGCCTGGCTCGCTGTTTCACTTTCGGCGTGCGAATGTCAGATGCCATAATCTCAAATCTCCATCTCCGTCTCCATCTCCACTTTACTGCTACAGTTGGTGGGACATAAAATCCCAGCGAACGGCAAGCTGCGTTCCGGCGGCAGTTCGGTCACCGGTGAGGTGAGCCACGGCCTCCACTTCGAGATGACGCTCGTCCAGGTCTATCGGGTGGCGCTCAGTGCCGGCAAGGCGCATCGCGACCACAAGCACCACCATGTCCATCATTTTGACCACGAGGGCCAGGAGGTCTCCAGCACCACTCGTGCCCCACCCTCGGTAAGTGCTTAGCTAGTGCCCACGGAGACAGTAAGAGAGATAACACTTCTGCTCTCCATCCAGATTAACCGTCCTCAACCTATGCACACCCTGCTCGCCAGTGGCCAGATCCCCACTCGGGTGCGCATCAACTTGGCCAATCCCCCGCCGACTGCAAGTGGAGCTCCGGCTCCTGGGGCGGCTGGTGTTCCGACCGATCCCGCCCAGCAGGCCATCACCATCAATACGAATTTTGTGAACGGACAGATAAACGCGGGATCGCGGCTCGTGGCCCAGCAACTCCTGGGTCTCTCGCCGCCGAGCGGATTGCAACCTGGCGGTGGTGGCAAGCGCTTTCAAATGCTAAGTAACTCCGCCAACGTGCAGTTCATCGACGAAACGGAGACCCACATCCAGTTCAAGCGGGAAGTCGACGCCACCAAGAAGCTGCAGAAGCGCGGTCTGGTGCTGCTGGACGATGGATCTGTGGTGGACGACGGCGTTGGGTCCGGAACGGATGCCAGCTTGATTTACAACGGTCTCGCCGACTTTGGCGGACAGCAGTTTAAGCAGGATCTGACGCTCAAGATGAGCTTGGAGGAGGAGATCAGCACGCACGACCGAGAGCCCGCCGAGGAGGAGGTAAGGGCCGTGATGTCCATCTGTAGCAGCTGCCACACGGAGCCCTTCCAGGGTGCCATCGTGTTTTCGTGGAAGGATGTGCGCGAGCACATGAACAACGCCCTCAAGGGACTCAGCGTGGGTCCATGTGGTAACTTCTAGTTGTGCCCAAAGTACGGATAACATTCTAGTGTCCAAGAACCCAGCTTAAGCTTTCCCAGCCCCACCCCATTATTTTCATATATATTTTTTTTTCCATATACGAATAAGTATTCGATTGCTTTGGGCATCTTGTGTCCCACTTGTCCATGTGGGAGTCAACGCTTTACTGTGGCCACCCAGTTGGCCAATCAACAATCCTTGACTCGCTCATGGACACCAATCCATCCTCCTTCTCTAAACCCTTAATCCTCACCCTAGCAATTTCGCGGTGATATTGAATAAAGGACTATTTAACTGATACCTTCTAGCAGCACTTACCTTTGACTTGTGGATATGCTGGTGCTTGTAGTCCGAATCGAACTCCGGCTCGCTGAAGTAGCTCTGATCCTGGTCCCAGTTGGCCTGCGCCTGTGGCAGAGGTTGTGGTATTCCAGGGCCGCCGGGCAGGATCTGGGGCGGGGCTGCCACCTCAGTGGACTCAAAAAGACGCAGCACGGAGCGATCTCTGATCTCGCGCAGATGCGAGCGCACGTCCTCCAGCTCGTAGAACATATCCTTGCTGGCATCATGAATGTAAATCTTCACATTGGGCCCCTCCAGATATGACATGGTCAACTGTCGCGGAAACGAGCGTACGAACAGGGCGCGCACCGTATCAATCGATGTGATCTCGTTGGGCAGCAGGGCGCGCTTCGTCTCCGAGCGGTACTGCAGAAAGACCAGGCCCAGCGGTCGTTCCAGAGTTTTCGAGGGCGTGCGTACCACGGGGAGCGAGGAGCGCTGCTTGCCGCCCCTCCGGAATCCGGTGCTGGCCGTTTCCACCTCCGACATGATGCCCGGATCGTCGTCGAACAGCGGTCCCTGGTTAACAGGCGCATATCCCCGCATCGGCTGGTTCTTTTTGTTCTTCTGCGCGCGCGTACTCATCTAGGAAGGGACCGGAATTAGAAACTGAAGGCAGAATCCGGTTGAGACGGGGTGTGCTCACCTCCAGATCCATAGCGCGCTGTTGCTGGGGCGCCATCTGATGGGCGTGTGGATGCTGCGAGCCGTAGACCAGCATATCGCCGCCGAGCGTGTGTCGTCGCGGATCGTCGCGTCGCATGGCTCGTCGTCGTTCGTCGCCACCTGGGGAAACACATAGACGTTTATGATGGGGCTACAGGTCCATGGAAGTCAGTAGGTCCTTAACATACCCTGTTCATTTGACGGAAGGCGTCCCGATTTTGCCTCATTCTGCCAGTCTTCTTCTGAAAGAGAGGGAGCCGGAGTTAGGCACTGTTCTGGATGCATCTCGCTCCCTTCCGCTCTACGGATTCCGAATACTTACCGCCCTCTCGACCCTTGCGCTTCTTCTTCGACGAGGAGCTGCTGCTGCCGCCGACACTCTGGTTGGAGGAGGCGCTCTTGTCTTTGCTCTTCCAACGGATCAACATCCTGCAGCCTTTCGAGATGTGCGGAGCTCAGTGGCTATGTTGCAGCTACAGAAAATGAGATACAACGGATATGGTTAACGTGAAAATGTCATGCTACTCTTGGACTTTGTTTACGTTTGGTACCGGCAACAACACGCTAAACCGCACACACACAACATGCAACTTTGGTGTAGATAAACCATGTATCCTCGCACATTCCTTAACAGGGTGTGGTGGAATGGAGCCTCGCAGTGCCAGTGCTCAATGCAAAAAGTATGCAACGGAGTGCGCAAACTCTGCGGCACGGAATGGAGCAAGAAAGCAGGACAGAGCGGTAGGCGTGACTGGAGCTGGATCTGGAACTGCATGTGGATCTGGATCGGGACCGCAGAGACGCGGTTCTGTAAGCCAATATCTTGACCAAATACTGGTCCTCAAATTTGGGAAGGAGCCGCATGCCATATAGAGGCCATCACCTAAGACAGCACGCCTTACTTTCGAATTTTTGGAGTTGGAAGGCGCTCTAAACAGGCATGTTAAGATGTTTTGGCTGCATGTACACATTTTGCCTGTTGTTCTCGAGCCAGAAATCCGAGGAAGGGGCAGCAAAAGGAAACGGACACGGAGATGTGTACACACGAAACATGGTATACTTTTCAGTGCAGCACTTCACGGGTTTTTGTGTGCCTGTTCCTGTGCCAGTGCCAGTGTCAGTGCCTGGGAATATGTACATGTACACAGCCACCCACTTTCACTGCCCATCGGCACTATTGCGGGCCACTAAAGGAATTTTTGATTAGTTTTAGGTGCGGTGCCCCAGGCCCGTTTTTTCCGAGCCGCCTTTAAATGTGTCAGATGCGTCCAGTTTCCAGGGCGCGAGTGCACATCAAACATGGTGGCTGTTGACTTTTCTTTTCCACACACATCAGCGGTTAGGTGGCTGGATTCCGTGCAGTTTTCATGGGGGATCTCGCCTTGGCTGTACCTTGTATACCTATGCACCTTTGGGGGTGTGTGGGCGGTTCACCGGCGATGTTTCTGGCATTTTCTGGAACCGCACTTGCCTGGCCGATGCAGGAAGGTTTCACAATTAACGGGTCTAGGCGCTCATAGCTCGAGGAGCTCACCGATTTAGCCGTGTCCTTAGGATTTCGATTCGATTCAATTCGCTTCGCACTCGTCACTACACAGCTTTCAGGAGTCAGGAGTCAGGACACGGCACTCGTCCACCGACGCAGCATAACGCCAGAAGAGCAGAAATATTTCTGGTATATCTACACCGGAAAGCGTTTCCGCCCTAGCCGAGCGAGGAGTGCGTGGTTGAATGCACGGCGCATGCGTTACCAATCGAGTGTTCCCGGACCAGCGAAGTCCCTTGGCATCCCGGCGCCCTGGCATCCCTGCATTCCGACGCTGCTCCGTTGTGTGTGTTAAACTTGCTCGACGTTTGAGCAAATGTGCCTATCGAATGGCTCCACTCGATAACTGGGCGGAAGACCTTCAAAAACAGGTGACACAACACATGCTCGTACTGCGCCGAGTTGTTTGTCCGGCAGCAGCCAGGATCCCGGATGTCTGGACCCGCAGCTTCGGCCTGGTGGAGTTTGCCGGCCAGTGGCCTCACTCTGAGCAACGCCAGTTTGAATCGGACATGCGAGTCATCAGGGACTTTGTCACTGCGAAAGAGGAACAACTACTTATGCGCGAAATCGAACCTCACATCAGCCGCTTGCCGTACGAGTCGAGCCACTGGGATGACGTGGGTATTCAGTATATATATGTATATTCCTGGCTAAATATCTTACCACTTGCAGGCAATTCATGGATACCGCGAACTTGAACGCAGAAAGTGGTCTCCCGAAAACCGGGCCATGCTGGACCGTGTCTCGCAAGCTGCCTTCGGTGGTCAGGTAATGCCCTTTGTTCACATCCTGGACTTGGCGGACTCTGGCGTGATCAAGCCGCACGTGGACAGCACGCGAGTGAGTTGGACCATGGCAGATGCAACAAATTTCCATTCTCATTTACGATTGCACTTGACAGTTTTGTGGTAACACCATCGCAGGAATCAGCCTCCTCAGCGACTGCGTCATGCGACTAAAGCGGGTGACCAAGGATCCGGATTCTGCGAGCCACTCTGCGGATCTGCTGCTGCCGCGACGCTCGCTCTACATCATGAGTGCCCTAGCGCGGTACGAGTTCACCCACGAAATCCTGGCCAGAGATCAATCGTGGTTCAAGAAGCGTTTGGTGGAAAAAAGGCGACGCATTTCCGTCATTTGTCGAAACGAACCTTGATTGTAGCAAACGTGTTGTTTCCTTCTCTCACAGCGGGTGTTCATGTATGTATATACAATGAAAATTTATTCCGATTTGGTGATCAGCTAATGTAATACAGACGGCGGACTGCGACGGATTACACGACGTGATTCAGCCATGTATGATACACTAAATCAAATGTACAAATACATAGTATGCCTTATGCTAACTACTTGTACTTAATAAATATGGGCTCACCTTTCTCACTCGCTTCAAATTCTCTATTCCCTCTTATAATCTTTTGAAATTTGTGTTTTTTCTCAACAATGTATATGGGTATATGGGTTGATGCTTTTCTACTTTCATTTGTACGTTGTCGTCTCGTTTCATTTAAAGCTTAAAATATGAGAATGACAGAGACAGGGAGATTAATGGGCAACTGAGTGAGATGGAGAGAAGGTGATTGGGAAGGAGGAAGGAATCAAAAATCAACCGGACAATGACTAGTCGCGGATTCAAGGATAACTGGGAAACTGTGATGTGTTGTCGCTAAACCTACGTTCATATTTGCACTTCTAGCCACTGCTAGTTAAAGTCTATGCCGTGCGTCCGGCTCGGGGAATGCTATTATGGCGATGGGGACTCGGTTCCGGCGGGTCATCAGTCATCCAGCTCATCCCAGCTTTCGGCGTCGCGGCAGCTGCAGCGGCAAGGCAACGACGGAAGCGGACGAGGTCGGATTCGCTGCCATCACCGGAAGGGCCAGAGCCACTGGAGCTGCGAGTCCGCCGCCCACGTACTGCAGATGCTGCACCACCGACAGCTGTGGCTGCTGTTGCTTAAGCAGCTTGGCGGCAGCGTGCGCCTCCGCCGCAGCCACCACAACAGGGTGCACTGGCTCGGTGCCGACTCCTCCGTTGGCATGTGGACCGGTGCTTTCGCAGTCGTCTTCGTCTGAGATCAGTGATATGCTGAGGTCGCTGGACAGTTTTAGCGAGATGGGCGTGGGCGGCGAGGGAGCCACCAAGGGCGCCACTTTGGCTCGCAATGCCGGCGACAGCTTCTGCAGCTGTTCCGGCATCAGGTCGTGCGTGTATTCCGGCACTCCACTAAAGGCCAGGCCTTCGCGTAGTTTGCTCAGCGAGAGTTCGTAAATACGGTTGGCTATGACCGTGTGTACGGTCGTCTCGTCCGGCAGCGTGGCTGTGATGCCGCCGCCAACGTCCACCTCCAGAAAACAGCCCGTTTCATTGCCGCCCTCTCCTCCATCGGCGGTGACGATCCCATTGCTGGCCGCTATGGACGCTTGACAGGGCTTGGCGTGGCCTGACACTAGCTTGTGGCAGTTGGCAGTGGTGGAGGTGCGCGGCACCAACGAAACAGTTACCTCTTCGACGGTCTCCGACGGTGTAAGCGGTGCGAGTGGTGGCGGCGAGCGCATGGAGAGCTGGGAGCGCACTCTTGCCGTGCTGCAGGGTTCCTGCTCGTTGTGCTCGTCGTCGCTGGTTATCAGGATGCTCTCGGTCACGGCGAGTGAGTGTGGGGCAGTTCTGCGCGGCGCCTGCCTTCTGCCCACTCTGGGTGCTCGGTGCAAGCTGTGCCTAGGGGCAGGAATCAGGAGGCGATTGTGGCCAGCTGCAGTGGACTGTCCGGCCGATGGGGTGTCATCGTCGTCCGACAGCAGGTCGATGGTCACGTCCGCCTGCAGAGTGGCAGCCGCATGGCGTCGCTGCAGATGGGACAGCTGCCGGTCAGTCTTGGAGGCGAGAGTCGCTTGGACACGCATCCGTGCCATGCAGATCCGCTGGTGCTCGAGCAGGCGTTCCATCCACCGACCGCGACGCCGCTTAAGACGCCGGTTGTCGAACAGCCGGGGCGATATGTAGAATGGTTCGGAATGTCTCTGGTTCATGTCTGCAGGCGGCAGTAGAAGGGTAAGTCTGTGCCTCCTGGCCGGCCACTGGTGGCCACCTACTCACCGATTGTGTGGACTCGTCTTCTAGCGGTGGCGGTGCCTGCCCCAGGTTGTCAAGGGTCATGGACTCGGGCCCGTGGGGCTCCTCCTCCTCTTGCTGTTCCACTGGCGGCGAGTACAGTTAGATCCGCTGCTGCAACTTGCATAATTGCGTGGCGGGCGCAGGGCGATTTCCTTGAAAGGAGCGGAGGCGCGGGACTAGGCGCTGCGCCTCCCGCCGCAGGAGATGCCGAGGTGCAAGCGGGGCCGAGATGGGTGCTTTTTCGTTCGCCAGCTGCTTAATTTGTGCTTTTGTTGTACTTTAGAATTCTGTTTATAAAACTGCATCGATAATCGGCCACACATCGATAACGCACCTCTCGATAGTCCGCGTGGCGTGCAACCGTGCACGTCGACTGGTCACACAATATCCGTCGGTAGTTATCGATAATGCATTTGTCATTTGGGCGCGCGATTTGAATCAGCTAGAGAAAATAATAGAGCTCGACAGAAGGATACAAATGTTTTGGATCACCAGCTAATCCAGCGACTTGGACACCAGGTAGACCCGGTAAAATCCCTATTAAGTAAACCATACATATCTCGAGTAAGGCACTCAAGCTACTTTTGGCACCACCCACAATTTTGAGAAGCACTCAATCGGCGCAGGCGCTCTGTTTTCAGAAGCTTTCACTCACATCTTTGGTAGCTTTCACTCCGCATTCGCACGAGGACCGGAACAATAGGGAAGACACCGACTCCAGCCGGAGTCAGTTGGCAGATCGTTGCCTCCGGATGCGGATGTAGATGCAGCAGTCGCCCTTAGGCTCTTAATGCCTTCGATTAACTTTCGCAGGCTTAGGATGACCGGAAATGAACCACAAAAATCGGGAAACACCAAGTTTCTGTTCAAATTAATATGGGGTTGAACAATGGCGTAACAATCGGAGTCCTGGGATCGGAAGTGGACCATTAGTTCTGGAAAGAGCGACGGGATTTTTATATGGATTTTTATTTTTTATATAGCCACTTATCTCCATTTCTCGAGAAACATACGAAAAGTTAGCAATCTGACAGATAAAAGTAGTCAACGTTCAGACGGACAACAAGAAAGCTCACTAATACCTTGGAATCAAAAGGTTGTGTTAAAGTCGTTAGCCCTAAAAACATTGGAAAAATATTATTCATACTACTATACTTTATCTACAGTCTTGGGCCCCCATATTTCAAATTATTCATGTATCTCATGTAGCGAAAGATCAAAGTTATGTTGACTCTTTTAATCCCTCAGCGCTTTCCCAGAGCGCTTTCCTATATGAACAAATCGGCGGATCGGATTGGACATTGTTGGGCACTCATTCACATCGGACTTTAAGCTTTAAGAGTGTGCAACAGCCATGAGTCAAGTACGGTCCGCTGGGGAGCGGGGCGGGCAAGATCCGATTTCAGTAATTCACGCGAATGGCTCATTTCCCCAGCTCGCGGAGCAGCCAGGAGCCAAGGAGCAAAGGCGCTGGAGTTGGAGCTGGAGATGGAGACGGAGACGGAGAAGGGGCTGCCCTTGGCGAAGGAGACCAGTTTGCTGGGAGATAAAGGGAGAAGGGCGGCGAGAGACAATAGACAATAGACAGGAACCACAACAAAAATTATAGACTCGGTCTTGACTTGGCTCGACTGTAGCCGGTGCTTTGCGTTTGGCTGGCAGCACAGCACAGCACAGCACAGCACAGCACAGCACAGGACCTCCGTAGTCCTTGCTGCGCCAGCTGCAGCTCCTTTGACTGTTTGTGTTGTGTTTCTGGATTGCACTTTGGCCGCTTAAGGCCGCGGAGTGCGGCACAGGAGCACCCACATCTTGGCGCACCACACGCACACCCTTAAGCGACTCCCCTCCTGGCTTTGAATCCGACATCCTACATCCGACATCCAACATCCGACCCCACTCTTCATCCTTGTCTGTCCCACAGACGCTGCCTGCCATCGTTTCCTGGCTGGGACGACCAGCCTGGCTCGCCTGTGCATTAAAATGAATTCCTTGCGAAGAGTCGAAGGAGCGAGGGGCACCGAGTCGATTTGAATGAATGCACGTCCTCGCTGCTCATCCCGGTGCTCATCGTCCTGATGGCGGAAAATGGGGTTCCCGCTTCGCGTCTTCAAGTGTTTGCCTTCCTCAGGTGTTGAGTTGAGTCGAGTCAAGTTGGCATTGTCTTTTTGTTTTCGCCATCGTCTGCCGCAGTTGTTTT